GAGAGAGAGAGACGAAATGCCAAGAAAGCGTAAAAACCCATAAAGACAGAGAGATAGACAACAGGTTAGGTTATCTTCACCGTCAGGGAACAGGATCTCGGTTTTCCTGAAGATTCCTTGAAAGACATTACTCCTTCAGGATTCACAACTATCCCAACACCTTACTGTAATCCTTCGTCAGGAGAGAGAGAGAGGGGGGGGAGTCTTTCACAGGTGGTAGTTAATTAATGTCTCTAATCGCCTTGTGTTGTTTACCTGGTGAAGAGTAAGGTGTTAATTTCCAGGTTATGTTTTTGACAGCTACCATTTAATTACTACAAGTTGAAATGCCTGTAGCTCATGTCACTGTCCTTTCAATTATCATCATCTCAGCGTTTGAAGTGGATAGATCATTGCTTATAGATCATGTCACTTTAAGGATCATGTCACTTTAAGGATCATGTCACTTTAAGGATCATGTCACTTTAAGGATCATGTCACTTTAAGGATCATGTCACTTTAAGGATCATGTCACTGGGATCATGTCACTTTGGGATCATGTCACTTTAGGATCATGTCACTTTGGGATCATGTCACTTTGGATCATGTCACTTTAAGGATCATGTCACTTTAAGGATCATGTCACTTTAAGGATCATGTCACTTTAAGGATCATGTCACTTTAAGGATCATGTCACTTTAAGGATCATGTCACTTTAAGGATCATGTCACTTTAAGGATCATGTCACTTTAAGGATCATGTCACTTTAAGGATCATGTCACTTTAAGGATCATGTCACTTTAAGGATCATGTCACTTTAAGGAGCATGTCACTTTAAGGATCATGTCACTTTAAGGATCATGTCACTTTAAGGATCATGTCACTTTAAGGATCATGTCACTTTAAGGATCATGTCACTTTAAGGATCATGTCACTTTAAGGATCATGTCACTTTCTACTTCACTTATCACCAGCCAAGACACTTCATCAGGTTAATGCCCCTCATCTTGAAGGAATGGTGTAACGCCTACCACCACCACGACTGACGGATGGACAGACAGACAGACAGACAGACAGACAGACAGACAGACAGGTTAAGACAGACAGACAGACAGACAGACAGACAGGTTAAGACAGACAGACAGACAGACAGACAGGTTAAAGACAGACGAACAGGTTAAAGACAGACAGACAGACGAACAGACAGACAGACAGACGGGTTAGAACAGACAGACGGGTTAAGACAGACAGGTTAAGACAGACAGACAGAGTTGAACAGACAGACGAACGAACAGACAGACAGACAGACGAACAGGTTAAGACAGACAGGTTAAGACAGACAGGTTAAGACAGACAGACAGACAGACGAACAGACGAACAGACAGGTTAAGACAGACAGGTGAGTTAAGACCGAAGACAGACGAACAGACAGACAGACAGACAGACAGGTTAAAGACAGACAGACAGGTTAAGACAGACGGTTAGGAGCAGACGAACGGAGTTGAACAGACAGACAGACAGACAGACAGACAGACGGGTTAGACAGACGGGTTAAGACGAACGGAGGTTAAGACAGACGAACGAACAGACGAACAGACAGACGGGTTAAGACAGACGGGTTAAGACAGACGGGTTAAGACAGACAGACAGACAGACAGACAGACGAACGGGTTAAGACAGACAGGTTAAGACAGATGAGTTAAGACAGACAGACAGACAGACAGACAGACAGTGCCGTTTACAATATTGTTTAGATACTAATAAAAAGTTGTCCTTATCTCTTTGTGTGGCTGATGATAAAATTAAAATATATTATAAACCTGTTGTTGTTTATTTAGATGTTTTATTTGTTAACTAGAATAAAAAGAAGCTTGTTTGGTGGGTAAAATAATCTAGGTGTATTTATATATATTTAGTTTCAGCTGCCTTGATAGATTAATTAAAGTTAGTTATATATATATGGTTTTTATCGTCTGTAATGAAGAGGTAAATTTCAGAGAGATGTTTTTCAATAATGTGGACCCGTGTATAGGTTTGGTTTGGTTAGGTTAGGTTAGGTTAGATTTGGTTTGGTTTGGTTTGGTTTGGTTAGATTTGGTTTGGTTTGGTTTGGTTAGGTTAGATTTGGTTTGGTTTGGTTAGGTTAGATTTGGTTTGGTTTGGTTTGGTTTGGTTAGGTTAGATTTGGTTAGGTTAGGGTTTTGCGCCTCCAGTTAGGTTAGTTTTGGTTAGGTCATATTATTACTTGGTTTCAAAACACAAATGAATACATAATGAATCTTAGCGGTGTTATTGGTCATGTTACTTTTACAATTAAGTCTTGACGAGGTCGTGGTTGTTCGCGGAAACTGTCACCAGCGGCGGCCCACAAGGGGGTGTGTGTGGTCAAGCTGGGTTTCCTAATATACAGTGAAACCTCCATATAACGGATTTCCCAACCATATAATCCGTTAGATGGAGGTTTCACATCTAACGGACCCTCCATATAATCCTTAATTTAAATAGAGGTGTAATCACGAGCGAATAATTAAGGCGACACCTGTACACGTAAACAGAAAAGTATTAAGAATAAACCCAAATTATATGTAAACTAAAACTAATAACCAAAAATTGTCTTTTTTAGTCATTTTCATAAGTCAAGTTGTAAGTGGCAGTGATGGATCTGGTGAACCATCTCACACACACAGACCAGCTTCCCCCCCCCCTCACCACCACCACCACCGCCAGTACACACCACCACCAGTACACACCACCACCGCCACCACCACCATCACCAGTACACACCACCACCAAGTACACACCACCACCACCAGTACACACCACCACCACCACCACCATCAGTACACACCACCGCCCACCAGTCACCATACCACCAGTACACACATCACCGCCACCACCACCAGTACCACACCACCACACACACCACCACCACCACCAGTACACACACACCACCACCAGACACACCACCACCACCACCAGTACACACCACCACCACCATCACCAGTACACACCACCAGTACACACCACCACCAGCACATCACCACCACCAGCATACCACCACCACATCACCACCACCACCAACACACACCACCACCACCAGTACACACCACCACCACAGTCAGTAACTTAGAGACAATACCGAGGAGCCAAGTAAGCCTCAAGTCTTAACGGAAACAATAGTCTTTGTTGGCTGGTTTATTTCTCACCTGAATGACTGGTACATTTTACACTCAGGGATAATCTGCTCTTGGTATGTCTGTACGGCAGCTGTTGTGCTGTACGGTGGCTGCTGTATGCTGTACGGCGGCTGTTATGCTGTACGCTGTACGGCGGCTGTTATGCTGTACGGCGGCGCTGTATATGTACGGCGGTGTTGTGCTGTTGGCTGTGCTGTACGCTGTACGGCGGCTGTTATGCTGTACGGCGGCGTTGCGGCGGTTGTTATGCTGTACGGCGCTGTTGTTATGCTGGGTACGGCTGTTATGCTGTACGGCGGCTGTTATGCTGTACGGCGGCTGTTGTGCTGTACGGTGGCTGTTATGCTGTACGGCGGCTGTTATGCTGCGGCGGCTGTTGTGCTGTGCGGCTGTTATGCTGTACGGCGGCTGTTGTGCTGTACGGTGGCTGTTATGCTGTACGGCGGCTGTTATGCTGTACGGCGGCTGTTATGCTGTACGGCGGCTGTTGTGCTGTACGGCGGCTGTTATGCTATACGGCGGCTGCTGCGCTGTACGGCAGCTGTTGTGCTGTACGGCGGCTGTTATGCTGTACGGCGGCTGTTGTGCTGTACGGCAGCTGTTGTGCTATGCTGTTATGCGGCGGCTGTTGCTGTATGGCGGCTGTTATGCTGTACGGCGGCTGTTATGCTGTACGGCGGCTGTTATGCTGTACGGCGGCTGTTGTGCTGTACGGCGGCTGTTATGCTGTACGGCTGTTGTGCTGTACGGCAGCTGTTGTGCTGTACGGTGTTATGCTGTACGGCGCTGCTGCTACGGCGGCTGTTGTGCTGTACGGCGGCTGTTGTGCTGTACGGCGGCTGCTGTGCTGTACGGCGGCTGTTATGCTGTACGGCGGCTGTTATGCTGTACGGCGGCTGTTGTGCTGTACGGCGGCTGTTATGCTGTACGGCGGCTGTTATGCTGTACGGCTGCTGCTGTATGCTGTATGCTGTACGGCGGCTGTTATGCTGTACGGCGGCTGTTATGCTGTACGGCGGCTGTTGTGCTGTACGGCGGCTGCTGTGCTGTACGGCGGCTGTTATGCTGTACGGCGGCTGCTGCGCTGTTCGGGTTAACAATGATTTCTGGTGGTTCGTGTTTAGCCTATTTTGTATTATCGAAATCTGGGTTGATGAGTAAATTTATTTGTGTTTTATCATTATTTGGTAACGTTGTTGTAGTGTCTTAAGGCTCACTAGTCGTAAAGGAGGCAAACGAATTATTATAGATGGAATCACTGAAGCGGTTACAGGAATTAGTGTATAAAGCGTTACATCCTAGTTAACAAAGCTGATCTAAACAGCATGTAAATGGTGAAGTGTGTGACACTTATTTAAGAATGCCAAGATTTCATTTCTCGTACACACACACAGAGTAAAGCTGGGGTGATAGGCCCTAGTAATTAGTTGTAGGGTAAATCAGAGTTTCTTCACAAGTCAGGTCCACTTGTCCTCTACGTCATTACCAATTGTATAAACAAACGGAAATCTATTGGGGTTCTTACCAGGAAAACTTCGTGGTGCTAAATTCTCATTTGGTTACCTGGGAAAATTACTACGGCCCTTTTAACTAGGTGTCATGTAAACAGGAATATTTTCATAATGTGTCGGGAGGAAAACTTTATATAATTTGTTTTATAATAAGTGAAGGAATGTTGAGGTATAATGACTAATAATTAATTAGTTTTAAAGAAGGGTTGTGGAAGGGTGTATTAGAAAGGTGAAGCGCACCTGGTGGGCGGAGCTTGAGTCAGCTGTGTAGACATGGAGAGTTTCGCTCACCACCTCTCAGTGTTGGTCTGACTGTGTTGTGGGTGGGTGCTGAGCGCGCTCTCCTGAAAAATATTTTCTATCTTCTCACTTTTCTTGGCCCGGGCAGCCAAGGGAAAAATTGTCCTAATGGACTGCTTAAAATGGATAGTTCTCTGTGTATTTTTACTCCATGGATGCATAGCGTCCGGCAGCGAAGGTAAAGTTTACAATTTTTTTTTTAAAAATCAGTCTCTCCTCCAGACAGAAGTAGGTTAAAGCTGTGTTCCCATTCTCCACATGTCTGTTACGCTAGCCACTTGTTCCACACCATGAAGTGAAGCACAGGGAATAATGAAGCTGTGAGGTAATAATACAAAGACTTAGAAGACAGGAAGAGATTGTGTCTTTCACCTGGGAGATTTCAACGCGGCGGAGGGAGGGAGGGAGGGAGAGGGTTAAAGCTTTCGTCTGAGGTGGTGGTGGTGCCCTGAACGCCTCCCTACAGTATATGTGGCTGTCTGTGGTTTAGTGATCACAAACATTACGCAATCTTGTCTAAAGCTGGTCATCTGGCTGCCTGCTTGGCCCACGATACTGAAGCATTAATACACTAGGAAATATTTTTAGGGTTGAATTATCGTGACCATAACGTCCTTGATGCGGCCTTGAAGTATCGGAGTACAGTGCAGGAGAGGAACCCAATATATCCTGACGGTGTTCGCGTTGTAACTATACAATCTCACGCTAGTTTGGGTTAATTAGGCATTTCGTTGTGGTTAAGTTAATTTAATTTGGTTAGACTTAGTTTGTTTTGGTTAGGTTTGTTTATGTGGATAAGAGGATTTAATTTGGGGGGTTTTTAGGTTTATCCGAACAGGTGGAAATTCCTTTTAAATTTATGACGTTTGGTTTGGTCAGGGATTCAGTAACTACAGTAGCTTAATGCTCGAGTGTTGTGCAGTGTTTATCAGCCTTCACGGTGATGATGATGGCTACAGACCGTTAGACGTGACGAGGATTTGTGAGTCAATGTAATCTATAGTTATCCTCGCATTGATGCTTAGGTGAAGTGGCTTTGACAACTCGCTCAGAGGTTAAGTTTATATAATTTATGTAGAATTATTATTTTAAGTTGAGTTGTGATTGTTTTTGGTTGTAAAAGAGAATTGCTTTAACATTATTATTGATTGATTTTTTTGCTTTTGAAGACAATGAGGCTATTCTAGATATATTTAAGATTTTAACACACTTTAGTTTGTTGATATTAACCCCAAAATGATCAATGTGGATGGTTTACGGGTGAAGAATTTGGGGACATTTGGTGGGTGTAAGTTAAAGGAGTCCGTCTCGATATTCTAAATTGATTGATAGTTCGTCAACGCAAGAGTTCTATAGACTATCTCCCCTAAGGGTGTGTGTATTGTACTGTGTATGTAATTTGAGGATATAAGCATTTAAGTGTGGGTATTTCTTATTGTTGTGTCGACTCCTTGCTGTGGCTTGGGACTGTCTTGCTTCACTCTTATTATTTTCCCTATTTCCTTGAGATTTCTTAACACCTTGAGGAGAATTTCTATATAATTTGTCAACAATATTGTATGTGGTAGTCTGTCTGTCTGTCTGTTTGGTTTCTATTAGTTAATGAATGGAGAACGTGAATGGCAGGAGGGCGGGCTGGGGAGGAGGTTTCATCACTCTTCCAGTTTTCTCTCCTGTGCCCTGTAATTTAACATCCATGCCCAACTCTTGTGAACTGATGCCACATAAATATAGAATTATACGTAATAGTTTTTGACAGTTTATCAGGTCAAGGTAGTTCGTTGTATACCATTTATTTATCACCTTATTCAGTTTTTTTGTTTTTTAGTTGTTGTCGTCCGCTGGGTTCAGGTGTTCTATTTTCACTCTTATTTGGGTGCCTGGAGGGGGTGCTCGGCATGGTGCTTTAACGGCGTATGACCTTTATGGCATCGAATCACTCCCTCCCCAACTTTCGCTCTTAATGTAGCTCACACGTCATCCACTGTTATTTTCCTGGATTATAGGCTTTGGTTGAGGAGTTGTGTTGTCATTCGTGCCTCGGGGGCGGATAGTCAGTCAGTGATCGTGGCGAGGCCGTTAGCTTCCTTCCTAGACTTCAAAAGAGTTGCGTCTGTAAAGTCCTCGTGGCCATCGCGGACCAGCAATTTGGTTTCAAGGTCTCCCACCTCCCTTCTCTCCCTCCCCCCTCTCTTTCTCTCCCTCCCTCTCTCCTTTCCACACCCTACACTTAGGTCCACATGTGGTCTGAGTCCGTACCTACATCCCCTGAGTATCTCATGTGATAACCCACGTATCTGACTCACAAGAGGGCTAATTTTTGTCCGAATTCCTGAACTGTTTCATAGTCAACACTTTCATCTCGTAACCCATAAACACACTTGTATAATCTGCCACTACGGTATATGGGTTAGCTTAGGTTAGAATCCTGCTTCATTTGGCCATAGTTGTTGAATTTGAATTCTGCGCCAGTTCAGTTTTAAGTTAGTTTAGAATTGTCGCGTCGTTCGGGTTAGTTTCTTAACATTCTTCCACATTTTTGGGGTTACATTAAAAATCTCTCCTCGTTTAATTTGGTTATAATCTTTCTCCAGTCGGGATTGGTTAGATTAAAATCCCTCCCCCATTTGTATTAGGTTAAGTTAGTCTTAGCTAGGTTAGGTTAGTCTTGGCTAGGTTAGGTTATTCTTGGCTAGATTAGATTAGTCTTGGCTAGGTTAGGTTCCCCACAATTCTACCCCGAGACTTGATCATGTTCACAGCGGTTGATAAAAAAAAAAGAACTATTCCTGTTTCGTATTGTAGCGGTGTTGACATTTTCTTTATTTCACTTATTGACGACAGAGGTTCAGGTGTCACATTCTAGCAACATTCATATTTTGCCGTGTCATGTGCAAGGGGGCGGAGGTTGTGGCGAAACGTACACTCAAGTCTGGCGGGAGGGAGAGAAATCATCGTAAGAACTCAAGCTTTTTTTTAGTTTAACAAATTTATTAACAAAGCTTGGAGTACAGTTTGCCTCAAGCAGTTTTAAATAGTTTTGTGGTTTTAAAAGATGGTTGTTGTATCATGGTTTATCACTTTTTGTATGACAGACACATGAAAAATGGATAAGTTGTGTTATTAGAAGTTCGTCGTTGGTATACCCTAGTGAGAACGCGTATAGTTGGTCTTGGTATCAAATTAGACGAGTGAAGTTGTTTTATTTTCCAAACATTATAATTATACCGCCTGGAATTGTCTTCGAGTTTGTGATTGTTTATTAGTTTGATATTTTTTTATTACATGTTTTTTTTTATCCTGTGTGTATAGGAAATTTAGTCCTTGGTTTAAAAGTTACTAAAATGTTAGGTCGTGTGTTGCAATTGTCACATATCACCGCTGTAGTCGTTTACCTTCAAGGGCTTATTATTATTTTTATGTCTGGTACATTTGCAACACTGATGTGAAATTTGTTCATAGTGATCACTTAAGGAACTATAAAACTCGATTTTGTTACCTCTTGCCAGCAAAACTACGAGTAAGTGCTCGGTGTATGATGTGAATTCCAACGTTATGTGGTGGGCAATGTAACCGCACTGTTCAAAGTATCACCCCAACCTACGCGAAGAAGGAATAAAGTTAAAACAATTGTGTAATATTATTTAGTAATGCCTTAGTACGCATTTCTTCACGAGTTACTAGGAAAAACGAGGGAGTTTTCCCTGTTTTCCTACTGGGCAAAGGCAGATTAATTTGTGATTCGGCCAGTGTGTGCGTAAGAATCAAGGACATTTATTTCGTAGTCATTGTTCATACAGTATCATATTTAATTAGTGTTCCAATTACATGTCCAGATGGCGTTATTAATATATTCTGGTTTATATTCAAGAGTTGACATTAAAGTTCTTTACTATTGGACAAGTTGCTTTTAAAAGTGAGTCAAGCCGCGACTGGTCATAAGGTGTGTGAGTATTGAAGGAGGGAGTGTCCAGATCTGAGTGCTTTGGTGAAGTGCGTTTCAACTAAGACAGCAAATGTGTGTGTGTGTGTATATATTTATATAGTATATATAAAATGAACTTGTCTTACCTGTCACACTATTCATCTAGATTATTACACAACAGTAGCCAGATATCAGAGAATGAAGCCATTATTCCATTTAAATGTTATCAGGTCCTTGTCGTTTACAACATGGTAATGCTGATTGATGTGGCGCGTTTCGTTAAGGTATATATGACTGTGAAGCCTTAATGAAACCTCGGAAATTCCAGAGTAGGGTGGAAGGAAGGACTTGCTGCTCTTGAATCATAAAATCTCTCTTGGTTTTGTAATTCTTGGAACTTTTTGAAGGTGACACTAGAACTCTATCGATAGCCGGATCCAGAAAACGCATCCACTCTCCTACCTGGCTGGCTGGGCATTCCGGCAGCAGGAACAAAAACACTAGCGTCTCCCATTCCTCGTAACGGATACTCGAGCAGACCTCCATCTTTTAGCTTGAGGAGTTTTAAAATTTAGATTTTTTAGTAACTTAAATCATTTGCACTTACATACGACGTGAAGCAAATGAACCAAATTTGTGTAAAGAGTGAGTTAATTGTTAGATCACGTTATGCTTGAGTGGGTTTGTGTCGCGGTCCTATGAGTTTACGAATGTTTTATGTCGTGGCTCTCCCATGATTCCTAGAGTGCACAGTGGAGTTTTATTGGGCTCAGTGTGGGTGTGCTGGAATTTTTATCTGTTTCCGTATAGTTTGAATCGATGCAATTGAATTAAAACCTATTTCCCACTGACCTTAAAATTTTAATAATGATATTTCGAAGTATTATTAACTAAAGACAATTTTCAAAACATCAGATTCTAATTTGAAATAAAACTGACGTTCTTGGATTAAACAGATTTAGTATTAATATTAGAACAAGCAGCACTGTGTGTGTGTGTGTGTGTGTGTGTGTAAACCAGACGGACTTACACTTGAAAACTCGGATTTACTTTAGATTGGTTAAAGTTAATATAGAAATAACACTAATCCAAGTATCGTGTGAAAAAGTAACAAAAGTAGGTGTTGACTTCAGCGTGTGTCGTGAACCATTGATACAAGACTGGATTTTGCAGTTTGCTCCCACCTGCCTCGTGGTTACCAAACTCGCCCCTTCTCTGTAAGGACGTTGGTTCGCGCCCCGGGCATTCTGAAA